TTCCTTTTGATATTCGGGATTGTCGAACCTACGCGTCAGTCGAAGTTCCGTATCGGGAACCTCATCAGTTACGCTGAGATTTCGTCCTGCGAGTAAAGCCAGTCTGTGAGGAAAAGCCAAGAAGCAGTGTACAGGTGTTTTATCGTCACTGAGAATCAGCAGCAGTGCAGACCTCATGAATCTCATGGAATAGCAGACATCCAGGCCATTGGCAGGACATTAAAACCTTTGGCCACGAGGGCCTGATCAGCAGAACGACTAGCTGTTACTTAGACAGGGCATAGTGCCATTCCCTCTTCAACTGCGGAAACTACCACATGTGGTCACGCACTGCCTGGCTCCTTGAGCGCTGAACGAAATGTGCGATCTATCAGGTGAAATAAGTTCATGTACCCTGGTCAGACGGTGTACTCTTTAACCGAATACATGTACGGTGATTCCATCGGCTGAAAACCAGTCATTTTGGTAAGCAGATATCTTGGAGATATGGGTGGCAGAGATGACTGTACGACATCTACGACAACATGGAATTACAGTCGCCTTCAAGCCTACAAAAACGTTGAGAAGAACTCTCTTGAAACCAAAGGTAAGCTTGGATGCATTGAAGAAGACTAACGTGGTCTACAAACTTAAATGCAATGACTGCAACAAACGCTATGTTGGCCAGACAGGAAGAAAACTTGCTACCAGAATACACGCACACAAGCTTGCCAGCAGAAGACATGACCCAATGTCACTTGTCTCGAATCACGAAGACAGAGAAGGACACAAGTTCAATTGGGACAATGTTCAAATACTGCCTCACGCAAGAACAAAACGGGAGCGAGAAGTTGCCGCAACGTGGTACTCCACACAAAAATAGATCAATAAACACATCGACATTGACCCAGTCTATCAGCCATTACGAGCAAAAGAACCACACAGTCACGGGACTCGGAGCCAAGAAACCCAACGGCAACCAACGGACTAATTGGATCAAAGGAAGAAGGCCGCTGAATCAACCAATCAAGGGAACAAAACTCACACCACAGAGCAAGAAGGAGACGGCCGAATCACAAGGGAACAACTACACACAGAACTGCCGAATTGAATGCGCCCAACGAAACAACCAGACACAGGAGATTGAGACCATGTCAGATTCATGGGAGGCCAATCAAACTACGTGAAGACCGCTTTTTGAACTACCAGGATACTGTTTATATGCTATATAATCACAGGCAGAAGAGGAGGAATTCACCCACTCAACCCTGCACTGACGATGTCACATCGATTGGTGATGAAACGTTTGCAATCCAACTGCCAAGCTCGGCGAACAGACCAACAACCAACCAGCGCACCAGAGCTACCTATATTCCAAAGCATTGCCAATGGGTAATCATATCACGATGGGAGTGTTACAAAAGGCCAATTCATTCCGGTCGAACTCTTCACGTACGTTTATGCTAACCCCTAACTTGGAGGACAGTCTCCCTGGCTCGATGAATCCTCGACGTTCAAAGACTTGGTTCTTAGACCTCAAGTCAAGCCGTTCCAAAGGAAGGCTAACTTACCAATTGTGCTGTCCTGCGTTCCGCTGGACGGTCCACAGTCGGCGATGAAACCTTCCGCGCATACAGCGAGCGCTTCGGCTTGGTATCGTCTGTCTGACTTGTACACCACGTGCCCATGCGGTGGGTCACGTATAGGACCACAGTGCACTCCTAGTCAGAAAATAAAAAGAGGTTAAATAGCCTTTCCATCACTCGTCCAAGGAAAATCCACCACCAAGCATACTGCAGCCGAATATTTTGGTAAATTCAAGATGTAAAAGGAATTTTCGAGACCGCACTGAAATCATTTGTTTTTACCGAATATGCACTCATTTGCAAACGAGAGATTCAGCCTGGTTCCAGGTGCGTCTCTCGAAAAATCAAATTAGTTTGCAAATTAGTGCATGTTCGCTAATTTACTGAAATTTGGTTTCAAGTAGAACATAAGGTTGACGGAAACCACGGGACTGCGCCTATCTGATGAGCCCCAAGAAGGGCGAAACCGGTCGTGGGCTGTCGACGGATTTTCAGCAACCTTATGAGTAGTACATTACAAGGATATCCGTTGTTTTTACGTTGAAAAAGGTGACAAAAGTGAACAAAACTCAACTAACCCTATTGTTTTCTCCTACTCTCTAACCTTCATTCGCGTGGCTCAGCCACCTCTAAGCAGAGTTCACATGTGTGATCCTTTGGACACAATCGCTTTCCGCTGTTCTTTGTTCACATTTCAAAGTTCCATGTAAAAAGGGGTCTAACGTGTTATGTTGGGATAACAGCGACAAGAATGGCAGATCTTCAAAGCTTGAATTCAACAAACTCTTTTTCGGTGTACAAGAATTAAAATTGTCTCGAAAAAAAACTGAACTGCCAACGTTTTCTGTAACAGCAAGGTTGTCCTCTTACAGGGGGAGGTCATATATTTTCTCAGTTAAACATAAAAACCGAAAAAAAACACTTTGAAAGGTACTAACATGAAAACCTTCCTCAGCGCAGCGTATTACGGGAATAGCCCTCGACTGATCAACCTCACAAAAGTATAGGTGAGCAGAGGTGGGACAGACCTAATCTATCCAATATTTTAAAGGTGCATATCGATCTGTGTGAAAGAAAGATGGGCATTTAACATTACCTGTCAACACAAAAAACATCATTTTTGTCTTCACATGTAGCTGATGGGAAAGTGAAGTTCCCTTATTGCGTAAGCACTGCTGGCAGTATCTGAAGACCTTGCAGGCTAAAACACACAGGTATGTAAATCAGTTTATATATCAAACTACCTTGTAGGACCTCCTTTCCTGCCATAGTCCTCAAAAGTGGCGTGACTCCAGATGCCGCCAGCGTGAGAACCATACCCAGATTTATCCAAATGCTAAGTCGGTTTTTGCAGAGATAGAGTTGAAACTCTTCCAGCAACAAACTCACTTTCGCAGTTCAATTTTGTCACCTTCCATTCGGATCCGACACACGCTGCTTCGACATAATCCCGTTCAGGATCTTTGTAGCCCGGCTGACATGCTATCTCAATCACCTCACCGGATTTGTAGTCGTCACGATCGATATCCAGCGAGAACATCGAGATTTGTTCCGGTCGTGCCCTTGAACGAGTGCGGGTATTTGGCATGTAGGGTGGACTGAAGCAGGCTTCAGTTTACCAGCAAGGAAGCGTATTGGTTTCATCCAGAAGCCGTGGTTGTTGCGACGGTACCATTGGGAAAGTGTAAAAGCAATAAAACCAAATAAAAATGATGTGTCAGGCAGTCTTGGCAAAACTGAAGATTGTTTCTAAACAAGTAATCAATTACTTGGAAAATCAAAGTCTGGAGCTCCACAGTTTACATCGTTTTTATCCCGACAGACCGCCACAGACATTCCACAGACTTTCGTTGCGTATTTTTGCTGACAGAGAAACTAATAATGCGAAAAACGTATTTCACTACATCAAACTATAGTAGGGTGGATACGATCTGAACGGGGATCTCCGTAGTTCACAATATAACTACCCTCCGACTCCTCAGTATTGTTGGCCACTTCTAAGGACCTACTCAATGAACTGACACATGCCACAGTGACAATCTGGTCTTTCCGTCATCTTCACAAGGCTAAGACAGAAAACAGTTCCTCGTTTTCAATCGAGACTTTATCCGATAAGTGAAATCAGTCTGCACTGAAAAGCCGAGAAGCATTGTACAATTGTTCCATCCTTATTGGGAACCATCAGCAGTACGCATCTCACGAAACTCCGGAGAGTCTCAAACCTTCCGACCCGTGCCTAACCAGTCAATCATGAGCGGCTGCTTACCAGTGTGATTACCTCTCACCGAAAGAAAACGATAGTACCACTCATCTTCAATCAAGGAAACATCATGTGATCACGCAAGGGCTGGTTCCTCGTGTGACAACTTCTCAGATGGAAATTTTACTCATCAGATTGATCGTAGTTTAGGGAGATTTTTCCATTTTTCAATCAATATTTCGTTCCGCATTTCATCAGTATTCAACATTGCTCTGTCTTATTTTGCTCCTGAGTTCATATGGCCTAATGCAAGCTGTCGAAGTTAGCTGTCGAAGTTTAAGCTTATCGTAACCACAGCTTGAACTGTTTCCCACGAATTTATTTACCTGATTTACTCTGATTCCTTAATCGCTTTCAGTGGTGAAAGATGGACCGATGTGAAGATATGAGTGGAATGAAATCTGATCACTGTGGCCCTGAGTCCTACGTGATTTCCTCGGCTGAAACAGCGTCGACACAGGTGGGCGAAAGAAGGATGCGCGAATGGCATTAAAGTACGCGAAACATTTAGTCTGCGCAAATCAAATACACGTTTGTTCAGTCCACCGTTTCCCTGTCAAGACTGGTGATAAGCGTTGACTACCAAAACTGACGATGTTATTTACAAAGCAATTTAACCTGTGAAAATCACAGGCTTTAGATCACAGAACCTCTACAGATAAATCGTATACAGCCTCTTTTACGTGCTCAAAACGGGTCATGTGTTCAACACTCCACGAACTGAGAAAATCAGAACATTTGATTTCATCTGGCAATTTGTGTTGCCTACCACTGACCACACCAATCGACTTTCTGATCGATTTTTATTCTTTTATCTAGGATATTACTGGCTCCATGTGTTCACTTATTTGCGCCGAACTGTTTTAACCAATCAGAGTTGATCTTGACTTGCTGAGCCGCTGCCGGTTCACTGTACGATTAATAATCGCATGGTTATGATCGAAATGCCTATTCACAGGTCATCTTCAATCCTGACTTTGGCTGTTTTCGAAACAAGATTCAGTATTTCGGTTGAAAACATGGTCACTTTTTGATTGGCTGCTCGCGTAACACAGCCACCCAACGATGGAACAGGCGTTTGAACTGCTGGAGTTGAGAACGAGTGGCCTGTATCCTGCTTAGTCAAACCGCCGATCAGCCAGCGGTAACTGAACCGTAGTCCCTACTTGCTGGCTGGGAGCTTGTACAAGACCATGCTCGTGGACACGCAGTCGCTTACAATCCAGGGAGACGCATTCGAAGTTGTGGAGCGTTTTACGTATCTTGGAGGTCGTATCAGTTCTGATTGTAGTGTGACAGATGAGGTGAATGCACGAACCTGCAAGGCTCGGGCGGCGTTAGCTAATTTGAGACACCGATGGCGTCAGAATGGTTTATCCCTGAATATCAAGGGACGTGTGTATCAAGCTACAGTGCGGGCTGTGAGACTTGGCCTATTCGAGCAGCGGACCTGAGACGTCTACAGATGTTCGAAAATCGTTGTGTCTGGACCATAGCTCGTGTGGGTTGGTGTCGACGAATCCGTAATGAGGCAGTTGGAAAGCGTGTTTTCGGTTGTGTAACGGGTACTTCCATTGAAGAATGTGTCCAACACCAGAAGCTGCGTTGGTTGGGACATGTTTTNAGATTGCCTGAGTGAATGTCTGGAGATATAGGCACCTCGGAATGATCGTGGTAAGCTAGCACTTAGTCCCTCTCCCTTCCACCTTTACTCTTTTCTTCACAATAAGTCTTTCAACTAGACCATGGTTGTATGGCAGTGAAGCATCGGTGTTGAACACTGACGTCATTCTGTCGATGATGATGATGATGAATTCATAACAATGGTTGAACAGTTATTCACTACTTCTCGACCTGTCACCGACACTCAAAATTTGAAACTCCTAAAATTTACAGGTGGGTGCGCCTTGTTCTGATTGCCAGCAAATATCCAGATATTACCTTATTAGTCACCCCAATTATGCATTACTTACCAAAATTCGTTTTTTTTTCAAGTACTTAGATATCACATAATCTGGTAGGTTCAACTCGTTCAACAATCGCATCATCAAAGAGACACTTTGCGGTTTTCCGAAACATTTTCTCAATGTCGGTTGCTTCTTTTTAGGATGGTGACCAGTGAAAACACCAAACAAGATGATTTACAAAAACACAGCAAGCACACGTGACAACTGGGAACTCAATGGCTTTTGGGCGATCGTGGGATGCTCCATTCTATTCCCAAATATGTCGCTCACAAACGATGATGGTTGCTCAGCTAAGGCGAGTTCACTGTTGTGACGCACTACTGAGTCAATCATGCCTAAGGAACGAACCGTTTCAATTTCCCCTGATGCTTTTGCTCGAGGGACGTGTAGTCTATTCGTGTGGGAGAGATTTGTGCCTTCCTGAAGGATGAAGCTGGAAAAAACCATATCTATATGCTTTTCTCATTGACACAGATGCTTCTGTTTCGTCTTGCTTGCTTTCGTGCGGCATAGTATGACAATGAAAGATCTGTACGATGAACCCCAAAAACGCATGGCTGCATTGTGCGGTGCCAACACAACAATGATGGTGTGATGAGATGTTTACAGAGGAACAAATTTACATGTATAGCCAGCCCTCTTGCGATGCACAGATTCTGTGAAACAAAAAGGAAGACTGAGGTCTAGATAGTGTCAGACTGCTCAAAGTTAGGCAACAGAAATCGAAAAGCCACAGCTGGGTTTGAACTACTGACTTTCCTATCAGTAGTTTCTCTGCCTAACCACTGAGTTTCCTCGTGCTTTGCAGTTGCTCTTCTCCCGTCAACCGATAGTTCACTTAGACTGCCTGTAAGCTTTGTCTGACTACCATTTGGTAGTAAGATCACTATATTAAATTTGGCAGGAGTAGTCGAATAAATGCGCACAAAGTTGAAAATACCGTTGGACGAATGGTATTTGAGACACGGCCTCGAGTGGAAACAAACATGCGACTAGGAAGCTCATGTCTTTTTCGACTGAAGAGTACTTGAAACTTTTCGGGAATCGGGTATAGCCATTTGAGCTTGAAAATTAATTTAGTACTGTTGGTTACCATCCCTTCAACGTTTACCCTCGACCGCTTTAACAGTGGTTTAACGCATGCACACCCACTGTTTCACTCTTGTTTTGATTATGTCTTGAACGTTCAAGATAATTGGAAACTTATCCTAAGACAAACAATGCAAGCGTATCCTCACTCACAAAGTAAACATATATATTCGAAAAAATGACGGCAGCATACCGACGCTCATCTCATCACACAGCGCCTTGACCGGAGTCAGTTCAAACCTACGCACGACTCACTGTGCAGGAAAAGCCTGGGATCGATATCGTTTTGGATTAAACGAAAAGCAATAGGCCAGATGTCAACACACTCCGTCAAGACCCGCATTCAATTCCTCTGCGTCCTTCAAAAACCTCGGCTGCGTCTACTACAACTTATCAAACGAAGAACTCGATAAGTCTCTTATTTTCTTTTGTGTATTATTCAGTTGTACTAGTGTCTCTGGTAACCGCTATACATAAGAGTCTATTGTTAGTGTTAGTTCACCTTCTGATATTACTTCTAGTAAAAGACTATAGCACTAACAGTACCCATGGCGATGTGGCAGCCTGCTCGAGTCTCGGCTTTCACATCGTGATTGTTCCGTTCACTCTACAGTCGTGCGCCACTCAAATGTTCCATCTGTCAAAACACACCGTAACAGCTGGAGCAATTTCCTCAGAATCATTCCGTGAATCGAATGATGCTACCCGCTCCACTCACTCCACTTCGATCAGTTTCATTTGGGCGAGTCCCTAATCCCAGCACATTTGAGCGGGCAAATTTGCAATTCAGTGTGTCAAGTTTTATCTCCAATTACAGCTATGCTTATCACCCATTCTAGAGAATGTTTTTTTTTCAAGTTTCTCGGGGTTTGAATTATCCCCCATTCAGACTTCAATTTTTTCCCTCCTGCTCCTTTTTAAGACAATGTCTGGAAGCTCCCAGCACAATGTGTTCATCCCCGAGAGATCTATCCAAATAGAATGGTGTAATTATTTCTACTTTGTAAGAAAATTACTGATGTAATTCAGTGCCCTTAGAATCCGGTATTATATCGCTATAAGCGTGCGTTTCTACGTTTGCATCAAAGTTATCGATCGTTCTTAAAATGCCCCAGATTGGCCTCTAATTTAGCACAGCGTTTAGCTGCTTTTCAAGGTCACTCAACTGCTCATCGAACCCGCTCAAATTTGTTGGAAGTATGCCTAAAACTTCCTCCAATGCGTGAGGATGGAACGTTTGTCACCACAAGTTGCTGAGTGCGTTTGTACCGTAAAGTATAGGATAGTAAAGTAAAGTAAGGTAAGGTAAAGTAAAGTCAGAAATCACTTCACATACTGTTGGTCTGGTTACTGCAAGATGGGTCCTCTCCACTCCAAGACAAGGTGGCCAAACAGTGGCGATTGCGGGGACCCCGAACGACAAAACCCGCGTCGCAGGTGTATTCCGCCGAGTCTCCGATGTCCGTCCCATTGAATCTGACTGTTCCGTTTGAAGGTGAAATCGGAGGTTTGCATCTTGAATTCTCTGTGTGTGTGTGAAATAATCGGGCGTGACAAACACATAAATCGTGATAAACTTAACCGCCAAAGGTGTCAACCGGAAATATGCTCACCGGAATACTCATAAATAATTGACATGGATCATGTTGGAAAGTTGCTGGGTGGAGATTACAGACCATACGACCAGGGTGCAGTTGAGTTAGTCAATCTCACGTTTACTCCAGTTACCAAACAACATCCGGTGTGATCCTGTTAATAACCAGCCTCGTGTTCACCTGAGGTTCAAAGTTCTAGATGGGATCCTTATAGCTTACAGGGCCACAAATTAGCTGCATCCTTCGTTGAAGTTCTCACAAGTTTTCAGTTGACAACGCTGCTCATCAGCACCGTGTTTGTTTCCTATAAGCAGAGGCTACTGTATAATAGCGAAAAACACTCCTTTACAAACTAATTTGGTTTTTCGAGAGACTCCTTTGGCACCCAGATGAATCTTTCGGTTTTGATGTTTCCAGGCAACCGAATGTGCTGCACCAGGCCGCCTCATGTTTCAGTTGCTACGATATTCGAGATATCGCGAGACATGTATATATTTGTAATGTACTGCTCATAAGGTTGCTGGAAATTTTTCGACAGCACACGACTGGTTTCGCCCTTCTTGGGGCTCATCAGGTAGGTGTATCTCAAACGAGGGATTCAGCTGGGTTCCAGGTGAGTCTCTTGAAAAAACAAGTTAGTTTGCAAATGAGCGTATTTCGCTAATTTCGCGCAGTTTGGTTTCAAGTAGAACATACGTTTGACGGAAAAGCGGGGACGGCGCCTACCTGATGAGCCCCAAGAAGGGCGAAACCGGTCGTGTGCTGTCGAGGAGTTTTCAGCAAACTTTTGAATAGTCCGATTCGAAAGAGGTATAATGGTTTTGCAACCATACTGATTCTCGAGGAGTGAAAATTCAGGTATCGTGAATCAGAGCAAATGTATTACAGCAACCTTCTCAGTTACGTACCAAGGTACCCTCAAATAACGTCCGTTACTTAGAGATCTGGTATCCGGGGGGTTGCGGAAGCGACTTCATTGCTACTAGTGAAGAGGGATGGAAGCCCTTCGCCCCGAACTCCCATACTAGCGAACATCAAGTAAACAGATATAATCTATTGGACAGGAAAGTAAACGTTCCACATGCACTATGTTTTTACAAATTGAACATTCGCCCGCATCTTGCTGAACGTTCGTCGATATTCATTGGCTAACACGCAACTGTAAACAGACGCTACAAAGCAGTTCCACAAGTTCATAAATGAACCTCACCCCCGAGTAGACGCGGGGCAGAGTTACGAGAAGACTACATACTACTCGCAAGTCTCATCAATAGCACCAGCCGCTACACCAGCAAATCCACTTGTTGGATGAATGCATGCGATTGGATGGAGATACTTAACGATATGGATGACAAAAGATGTTAATGGCAATCATGCATCTACCCAGACTGTCTGACTGCGTGTTGGAGGTGTGCGCACCTCCGATATCTGTGGCAGACGACGCCTAGGTCTCCGTTCAATTGCTTTCTTCTGTTCATTATGAGGTCTTGTTGAAATAGATTGACATGGTTGTATGATAGTGAAGCAACAGTAACATCATTTGGTTTCTCTGTCGGCGATGACGACGAGAAAGAATACACGTGGCGCACCTTAGCGCCACTGCAGCGGCGTAAAGACATCAGTGAAACGTGGGTAGATTCGGCGTTTGGACTGAGGTATTCACAGTCATCCTTATTCCTGGTCTGATTATCACGGTTTATGCCTAACTAATGAGTTCTGCTCTTATCAGTGACTACCAGCGGAGCAGCCAAGTGACGCACTTTGTAAATCTGCATGCGGTTTATCGAAATTCTAAAGGTGCATGGTGAAATCACTGTAGAATGATGTTCACAGCTGAGTTGACCCTCCAAAAATGAGCGACCTAAAGGAACAAAGTCTTTGCTGCAGGGTTACTGTTAGAAAACGCCAACTGAACAGTTACAGACTTGCGGACAGGGAAGCAAAACTCTCATATGCATCTTGTTTACAAAACTGAATACCTATCCTCTCCTTGAACGCGTTTTCCTGAACTTTCCTGGATATTCATTAGCTGTTACTCAAATGCAAGTAAATGCTAGAACGCGAATCCACAAATTCCATAATAGATCTCACTTTCCAAGAGACGCACAGCGGATTTATGAGAAAACAAATTGCTCGCATGCCTCCAATCAGTAGTATCACCGTTACACTGGTTTTGTTCTGTCCATTTGATCTGATTCAACGTCGTCTGCAGCCTCTTATACCAGCTTTGATCAGTCCATGGAAAAATCGGTTCTTGTCCGTTATAAAACCAAAACGGTCGTAGGCCTCGTCGCCAGTAAAGTTTAGGGAACCACATGTAAAAAAAGCCAAGTACGCAGACAATAGTGTTCGTCTTGTTACTTTCAGATTTGTGTTCCGAGCCCCATTGGAGTGAATCCAAACCGGGGGAAAATACAATGGAACCGCCGTGGTCACTCTTGCGAAAAAGGGAATTTTCTCGAAGCTGCAGAACAGCTGCAAAACTAACATATTTCATCGAGAGAGTTGAACGTTAATGTTTCAAATTGCTGTCTGTGGTTTGGTCACGTGGCTGCTCATCTGTTTACCGAGCTTGGCAATCAAACTGCAAACTTTTGTTCATCAGCCGAACGCTGCTACTCTCTTCTCGAATCGTGACGAGATAACTTCAGGTCAACGGCCAAGCTCGGAGCTACAATTTTTTTTAGAAAAAAATGCGCAAAAAGCCGTAATAGCTCTTAGGTGCTCATTCGTTCTCGGCCAGCTGCTGAATCCAGTTAGCAACGACTGCAGTCCCAATGTTCAGTTGATGAGTCATCGATTTTCATGGTGAAGTACATGACCTAGATGTGTCAGCGGAACCCATCCGCTTAGTATTTTTTTCCGAAAATATCACAACTGAACGTGCTGCACACAGGCCGCCTCATGTTTCAGTCGGCACGATATTCGAGATATCGCAGTATATTTCCATAAAGGAAACTACTCACAAGTTTTCTGAAAACCGTTCGACAGCCCACGACCGGTTTCGTCAACTGAATCCTGAGGCCACCGGCATGCAGCACATTCAGTTGGAGGACATTATAAACGAGAGATTCAATCCAGTCTCTCGTGAGAAGCAAATTGATTTGCAGATGAGTGTATTTCTCGAAAACAGTTCAATTTGGGTTCAAGTACAACACAAGGTTGACGGAGACTCGGGGTCTGCGCCTACCTGATAAGCCCCCAAAAAAGGGAAACTGGTCGTGGGCTGTCAGAGAGTTTTCAGCAACCTTAAGTTTCGTTTCCTATATGAAAAGACGGGAGTCTTTTGTGACCGGGCATTTTGGATATCACTATACCGTAAATTATATCGTGACTCATCCGTTCGAATTTCAGCAACCTTATGAGTAGTTTCCTATATGAAAAGACGGGAGTCTTTTGTGACCGGGCATTTTGGATATCACTATACCGTAAATTATATCGTGACTCACATATTCCGTTCGAAATGATGAACTACAGAGATTTTAGTCAAACTGAGAGCTATAGATCTTCTACTGATTGAGTCACTCCTGTATGAAATTACCGAAATTAAAGGGGTCTTGCCTATATCTTTGTAATGTACTACGCATAAGGTTGCTGAAAATCCGTCGACAGCCCACGACCGGTTTCGCTCTTTTTGGGGCTCATCAGGTAGGCGCAGTCCCCGGGTCTCCGTCAACCTTATGTTCTACTTGAAACCAGATGGCACAAAATTAGCGAATATTTGCAAATGAGTGTATATTCGCTTAGGTCTTTCCTACTTTCGGCACTCAAACAAAAGTTCAAGTAATTTGTTTGTTGGAAACGTGAAGCTCGCCGTGCTTTGCATCCATATTAAATCAGAACACTGCTCATGGGATTTAGGCGTCCGTGGAAGATACTCTCGTCAATTTTGGAATAGATGGGACACAGGTAAATAAGGCAGTCTAGATGCCCATGAATTTTCAAACGATCGGCGATTGAATATTCTGCAACGGAGCAAACTAGAGTGCCACGGTTCACAACCTTACTTCAGATTACGGCTGACAGAGTAATTTAAAAACGAGCCACAGGTCTTTCAAGTTTCAACTAACTCGAAACAGGTTTAAATCCAAGCGCGAAAATGCATTTCTTAGCCCTCCACAGATACGCTTGCTGTTTTGTCCCGCAAGATTAATATTGTCCTTCAAGACGGTCGAAAAATAGTCAAGATAAATCGAGTCACATCCTTTGTCCGGCAGTTTATCAAGGAGGCGGTATTTGGAACAAACCTTTGTGTAAACAAACCAAACTTGGAGGATGTACGGGGGTGAAAATGTGTGGGCACTCATGCTGTCCCTTTGAACCAGCGGTGGTTAGAAACAGTTCGTGACACAAGTATTCCCTCCAGGTTAGTTGTATCCTCAGGTCAGGCAACATTTATCGGAGATGATTGATTGTTTAGGATCATCAGAAAGACCGAAGTTGCTTTTGCTAACATTCTAGTTTCCATAGCTTCAATCTATAAGAATCCAGCCTTCCGGTTCTAATAATTGTAAGAACAAATTTGTTGCTATGGCCATTTTCCCCATAACAAATTTGACACAAAGACAAGGAAACGTTATAGCCAGCCGTTGTTTACAATCGGAAAGCACCCGTATTGGAAGAAAAAACCTATAACGGATATATATTTGTAGTGTACTACTCATAAGGCTGCTGAAAATTCGCCGACAGCACACGACCTGCTTCGCCCTTTAAGGGGCTCATCAGGTAGACACAATCCCCACGTTTCCGTCAACTTATGTTTTAAAGCCAAATTGCACGAAATTAGCGAAACACACTCATTTGCAAACTAATTTGGTTGTGCGAGAGACTCACCTGGAACCCAGCTGAATCCCTCGTTTGTGATGTTTTCAGGCAGCTCAATGTGTTGCACCAGGCAGCCGTACCTTTCACTCACTACGAGATTCGAGACA